TTTATAACCAAATGCCCTTTGTATTGTGGCCAGTCGCTGCCATAAATGACGGCGGCGTCACAATCACCATTTCCGCATTTCCGCAAACCTCATTTACCCGCATGTTTGAGTGCTCAGCTGAATCCCAAAGCGACCTCAATGTCCTTTCCGTCTTTCTCAGGTACAGCGCAGCGTATCGTCCAACCAGAAGCCTCAATAAATGACGGCGGCGACACAATCACCATTTCCGCAAACCTCATTTACCCGCATGTTCGAGTGCTCAGCTGAATCCCAAAGCGACCTCAATGTCCTTTCCGTCTTTCTCAGGTACAGCGCAGCGTATCGTCCAACCAGAAGCCTCAAAACCGCAGAGCTACTGACCAGGGTGAGCCTGGCGTGTGTCAGTGAAGGGCAGAGAAGCTGGGAAAAAAAAAAAAAGATTCGCTGGGATTACATTCAAAATAGCGGGGAGAGGCATTGCCCGGATTTCAGGATTTTGGTCTGCAAAGATGTTGACTTCAATATCTCCTCTCCAGGCTCCTCTTACTCAAGGAGAGGGGGGCAAGCAGACAACAGGACTGCCGGAGAGGATTCTGGGAGGAAAGGCTCGTCAGGCAGCTCCACGACCAAGGTGCCGGCCAGCCCCCTGGTTCCCTCCGACCGCAAGAAGAGCGCCACACCCTCCACTGTGAGCTCCGGTGCATTTCCACCACATGAATTCACACATTTAGGGCTGAAGAAGAATGAATCCGGTTTTATTTGAATTTTATGGCTTACTTAGATCGTCTCCAGATAAATTCAGTGCTTGATGTGCCGTCCACACGTTTGCATGTCGTTGTTTTAATGAAACGCTCAAAAGACTGCAAGACAGTGTTTCGTAAGTTAACAACTCCAATTGGAAGAACATAAAGAAATTGTCTTTGATATGAACTCATGGTTTATTTGACTAGCGTAAACCTAATCTATAAAACCGAAATGTGTGTATCATAAATCTGATATTCTTGATTGGAATACAGATGGGCTTGAGCTTCTTTGTTAAAAAGAAAAAATGCTTTGGAATAGGACCTCGAAAAAAATCATTGTATTTATAATCTCCATTCGATTTTTCAAAATCATTGAGCCCTGCGCCATTGACAATAAACTCAGGGAAGTCTAGAAAATACAGGTGTTGGCTGTATTTTATCTGATGATGTGTTCCAAAGATCAAAACGGAAGCTAGTTAGTAATTAACCTGATTTGTGACCTTGTGACTAGAACAAGACGAAACATGGACCCAGAGTGAAATGACATTTGTCATAGTTGTTCCGTTTTTCAGACATGGCCATTTGGTGACATTTTATTTGTTCTGAGTCCAATCCGTTTTATTGGTTGACTTCTCTCATTTATCCTTTCAGAATAGCATCCTGTCAACTGGCACTGGTCGCAGTCGGAATTCCCCTCTGACTGAGAGAGCCACACTGGGTCAGGGCATCCAGAATGGCAAGGACAGGTATACATGAACGCCATACAAACATAGGCACTTTCTTTTTCTCTTTGCTAGCGACCCGAAGCCGTCTGGGAGGAAGCTCGGCTAAGATAGTGTACGACAAACTGCCTCACCCTGCTTTGCGAATGAGGCAATCTTGCCAGCTGTCTGTGGCTCAGTCCCAGACTTTAGCTGGTGCTCTCCCGAGCTGCGCCAGTCGGCTCAGGGAGAACTACTCCAGATTTGACCCCATCCCACCCTGCCGGACGAGGAAATCAGGCTTTCTTGAGAATTTAGGCCAAACCTCCAGTAGATTATACAGATTACCGAAGTGGGTTCGACGGAAACCAGCGCAACAGTGGCGGAATTTGGTGGGCACACATTGACATGAGCCGCTTTTCCCTTGACCGTTCAAAAGGAGCTCGCAAATCTCAAAAGTGCTTGATCACCCGGAGTTGTACTTGCACTTAACACACCCTGCGCACGTCCGCACACGCAGCGGAAAGACGTACGCAGCACTCACGCTGAACCGGCCAAAGCTTTGTTGGTAGCTTTTCATTCGCATTCAACACGAACCCCTCAATCTCCCAACTGACGCAGCTTTCCATTGTTGTCACCGCTCCATGACTTGTTTGGCTCTTCGCCAGTCTCAAATGGCCCGCTACCAAAAAGAGAATCTGTTTTTATTTGTTCATCCTCCAGTGGTCATTTGAGACAGCACTGCTTTTTTTTTTCTCTTGTGGGTTTCAGTCATGTCATTCATTCTTGTATCCAGTATGTGTCAACCCCCACTGACTCCCTCCCCAATTAGCTTTCTTTTCTTTCTGCCCCTGTGCTCTTTTATTTATATTGGAGCCCTTTTCCTTTCCCCACCTTTATTCCTCCCATTCTCGTCTGTTGGGTTCTCGCCCTCCCCTCTCTAAGGAGATTAAAATGACTTGTGATAGAATATTAACTCCTGGCGGCGTGACGTGGTCCCCCTTAATAGGCTTACACAGTAACGGCCACGAACACACAGCCATTGCGCATGAAAATTCACCCCGTGGCCCACAAACGTGGCTGTCAGGTGTAGCCAAACGAGATATCGAGATCGATATATAGATATAGATGAAAGGCGATAACTCATGACTCATCATGAATTATTTGAAGGGGGGGAAGTCCAGTCTAACATTTTCTTTACAATCTGTTTTATGCACCCGCACTCAACTCATCACGGCATTCTGGTTCAAGTGGCAAATTTGGGATGGATAAAATTGTGTGGCTTTTGCATCTTAATTCATATTCCACAAAGTCAATAGTAATCACAGTACCTTGTTTGGAAGAGGAGGGGTGCATTGAACACGTCTTTAACCTGACTTCCCTTTCAATCGTGACAGTGCAAGTTTGAGCAGTTAGCCTCCTGTTTGTCCGTCTGTCTGTCTGTCTGCACTTCTGTTGCAAGCTGGAAGAGCATTTTTTTGCATTTCCTACTAGTGCGCTGTATCGTCCATGTACTACTACGCCTTTGGTCATCTCCAGGAAGACAGTGTTGCACACTACTTGAACAGTGACATGGCACTCGACAAAAGTGTGGACTACTTGACATGCTACTACTTATTAATAAGGAAAAATAGCACTCAATGGTATTTTAGGCAACTTTGTCGATTGATATAATTTGTAACGACAATGGGATTTGATGCTGCAATTCAATTTCTTGTGCTGCTCCTTCTGGTGTGCTCGCTTTGGCCACTGGGAGTCAGTCTAATACAGTTATGCACAAGTCTGACCAACTCACTCGACAGCCACCATCATGCAGAACAAATGTGCCGGAGCTGGGAGTCATAAAAGGGCAGTGAGCGGTCTCGCACAGGCAGAAGATCGCGACAGCCCCACCGTCAGTATATTTTTGCTGTTTTGTTCGTAAAGACTGAGAACGAATAGTGATTTTTGATCTGATACTTACGGGTGATCCCAGAACACGTAAATTACCGTTACAACCACTTTACAAATAATACAAATTAAACTGCTTTTTTTTAAGCGCTCATTCAAAAAATGGGCTACTGTGCGGAAGTTGGGTGTGCCAGCCGGCCATAAATTTCAAAATTACCTTGACTACTCTGAACATTATTTTCAAGCTTTCCCTAAATGACATTGAGGAAATGTGCTCAAAGGACTGGAGTCGGGGAGCCTCAGTTCTCTGAGCACCTTTGTCTACTTGAACCGAACGTATTATTTTAAGAAGATAAAATAAATTATGAGCTGCAAAATGGCCCCTGGAAACTCATGTGACCGCTTCCAACAGCATCCGAAGCGGCGAGAAGCGACATCTGAAGTTGGCCAGACTTCAAAGTTTAAAAAAAATAAACTGCGCCTGTCATGGCACAAACAAAAAGCACTTATACTATTACCCAAAGTGACTCAATAAGATGCTATAATTGTTGTTTTTTTGGTTTGTTTTGCAGAGGACAAAGAATATTTGCCTCTGGTTGTTGTTCTGTCCGTGTTTTGCTCCAGAGTTCGAGTAGGGTATCAAATAAATGCTCAAACGGCTTGCTCGACGCTTCCTCTGTCCCGCCTTCCTGTTTTCTCTTCACCCTCCCCACCTCTCATTTAGCCTTTTTTAATATGTGCTGCCTCTAACCATGCTCCACCTCACTGCACTGCCCACCCACACACAACTGTGTGTGTGTGTGTGTGTATGTGTGCGTGTGTGTGTGTGTCTTGTCCTGACATCGTCCCTCCCAGCCTAAACACTCCGGGTTCCCGTGCCTCCACTGCCTCAGCCGCCGCCATCCTCTCCTCCTCATCCTCGCGCCCCCGCCACCACAAGTCCTTGTCCTCCTCCAATCATCCATGCCCCTCTGACCTGCATGCACCACGACCCAGGCAAGTCTCTCATCAAACACACACACACACACACACACACACAGTTTTGCGCATGGAGGTTTCCCTCTCAAATGCAATGTACGGAGAGAAATATTCTTTTTGGCGGGGTTGTAATAGGTTTTATATTTTTCATTATCAGTAGTTCTTTTCTTTTGACTTTTGTGTTTTTAAATTCACTTAGTTTTAATTTGCTTTTAGAACAATTGTATTTTTTTTTTTAAGAGAACAGTTTGTTTTGGTTTAATTTGGATGAGTTAATTAGCTGCTGATTTTTCGACATATTTGGAGTATTTGGCGAGTGCAAGGTTAAAAATAAACCAATAAAAGACCTTCCTTCTTGTGTATGAACATACAGCAACACTGAAATAATAAATTTAAAGTGAACCATGAAAATATGTGTAATAGTAATTGACAAAGATGAAAACAAAGGACATTTTTACTAGAATTATATTTTTTAGTATTATAAACACGAGATGTCGTCTCAGCTTCAGATGGGTTTTTTTTTTTTGTGTTTTCATTTTTTTTATGTTTCGTTAATGAAAATGCCTTTTCAGTGTCAGTTCTCATAAACGATAATAACCTTGATTATTGGTCAACGACAATCCCTTGGTGTGCTTTTTTTTTTTTTGTTTTGTTTTTTTTTTAACTAGAACAACTGCTGTTGTGGCAAAATTGACCCGTTTGGATTTTTTTAACAGCAACGAAAGTAACCTGAATGTCATTCTTTTGCCTTGAAATTTGATGAGTCATTTAAAGCAACAAGTGGAATTTAAAAACGTCATTCTGTTGAACCAGTGCTACAAAGTTTATGTGCAGTGGTGCTGTCCTGGGTCAAATTTACCTGTGCCTATTAAAAAGGATTTTGGATTTACGAGTGTGTGTTGAATCCCGGAGAACGGTGGGAACTTTGAAACTGAAAGTGTACAGGCCATACTGTAAGTGTGTGCGGGTTCAATGTCATAATTCAAGTCGTTGCGGTTTTTTTGTGGCAACGAGGAGAACCTTCATTGTTTCTTCTTTTTTTTTTTTTTTTTTTTTTTTT